TATGTATATATATGTATGTATGTATGTATATATATGTATGTATGTATGTATATGTATGTATGTATGTATGTATATGTGTATGTATGTATATATGTGTATGTATGTATGTATATATGTGTATGTATGTATATATGTGTATGTATATATATATGTATATGTGTATGTATGTATGTGTATGTATGTATATATATATATGTATATGTATGTATATATATATATGTATGTATGTATATATATATGTGTATATATATGTGTATATATATGTGTGTGTGTATATATATATGTATATATATATATATATGTATGTGTGTATATATATGTATATGTGTAGATATGTGTATATATGTGTAGATATGTGTATATATGTGTAGATATATGTATATATGTGTGGATATATGTATATATGTGTTGATATATGTATATATGTGTGTGTATATATATGTATATATGTGTGTATATATGTATATATATGTGTATATGTGTATATGTATATATGTGTGTATGTGTATATATGTGTATGTGTGTATATATGTGTGTATATATGTGTGTATGTATGTGTGTATGTATATGTGTGTATATGTGTATATATGTATATATGTGTATATTTATTTATTTCTGCTGCTATAGGCAAACAGTTATTCAACATTCTGCTTTTCTAAGGTTTAAGGCTCAGTCAAATTCTGCACTGTGAAGATTTAGATGTACAGTAAAATGCTTCCACAGCACGTTATCTATTCACATCTACTGGAGTTGCCATTTCAAGTCTCGATGGGACCGTGTTTGTAGTTGACCCAGCTGTTTGCGCTCCTCATTCCCTGCAGGGATGGTACCGTGGTCCCACCCAGAGCCAACTACATCGAGGCGGACAAATACGTGCTGCCCTTCGAGTTGGCCTGTCAGTCAAAGTCCCCCCGGATAGTTAGCACCTCTTTGGACTGTCTGCAGGTTAGTATTCACACACACACACAGGCGTGTGCACACGAGTACAGTTAAATAATCTCAATCTCAATCTTCTGCTTTACTTTCTCACTGCCAGGTAATTATTGGTTGTTTTACCCATCTTGTGCTGGTTAGCAGGTGCTGGGAGATCTTGTTACACCCGTTTGACACTTCTGAAGTTCACCTGGAACAATGGCTCCACATTCCACACACACAAGCCATCCTTTAATCTGCTTGTAGCTTTTCGTAGTAGCTACACTTGTGTGGTCACATTGGTTATAATCCACTAAGAAGCCTACATTCAGTGTGCTAGTGCTGGAATGAAAATTAATTATTGAAGGACCACTCAGACTCACATTTTTATTATATCTTGTGTACCTGCTATGCGTTTTGTTTCATTTCTGTCCCTGTAATTGCTGGTGTTACTTGTCTTAATCTAAATGTACCCATGTAAAGCACTTTGTAGGTTCGTTTAGAAAGATGTTCTTAAAATGTAGTTTTATTGTTAATATTATCATAGTTGCATTATGGGAAATGTAGGACCCAGCGTTTTGGGACTTGACCCATACTTGACTCTAAAGGTCAGGATATCTTTGGCTCTGCGCCTCTTTTAAACACATGCTCATCTTTGATCAAATTAACCCGTAATAACACTTGTGAACACACAATGATTTTCTCACATACCCATAATTAAGAAACACAAACACTGAAATAAACCCTAAACTCACTGGGCTTGAATAATACAAGACCCTGACCTGCTCAGCGAGTTCCACACTCGCTCTGCCGCTCTAACCTGTGCACTGTTCCTCCCCGGTAGAAGCTGATCGCGTACGGCCACATCACAGGCAATGCCCCGGACAGCAGAACCCCGGGCAAGAGGCTCATCGACCGGCTGATGGAGACCGTCTGCAACTGCTTCCAGGGCCCGCAGACCGACGAGGGAGTCCAGCTACAGATCATCAAGGTATACGCGTCGCCTCACTGAACATCTGGCAGCCTTCAGATCCTCCAGCTGTCAGTGTTGTTGTCTCACAGCCGGGAGGAATGAGACACTTAAGTCCTCCATAAATAACATCGTTATTGAGAAAGGATCAAAGTGCCATTGACCATATTATATATCCTAACTAGTGCACACTTTTACCAATTTTATTCTCTTTTTTTCCTCACATTTATTCACATTTCCTGGTCACTTTTTTGGCTTGACAACCTGCCTCGTGTTTGGGCAGTAGGTGTGATTCATAACTACTGCTTGTTGAAGTTTCCTCTTTCTGAATGAAATACATATTCTGGTTGTTTGGCAAGGGCAAAGTCTCTCCTGCTGTAAGAAGCACTCCGTTTTATCACTGTTGACAAAAGATTCATAGCAGATAATCCACATGTTTGTCTTACAGTGACCGCTGACTGAGACCTGAATGTCGGTGACGTTTGTTTACACTGACTAATGCAAACTTGAACACAAAATGATATATCATGTTTTTTAATTATCATCTTTTGACTAACATCAAAATGAGTACGACAACCACACTTCTGCAACTTTTTACGCGCCTTTTATAGGGAAGTCGAGTGGTGACTCAGCAGGTACAGCGGCAGCATCTTCTAAACAAGACGGCCTGCCTGATAACTCTTGACTTCCTTCTCTCTCCTTCCAGGCCCTGCTGACGGCGGTGACCTCCCCGCACATAGAGATTCATGAGGGCACTGTGCTGCTCACCGTCAGGACCTGCTACAACATCTACCTGGCCAGCCGCAACCTGATCAACCAGACCACGGCCAAGGCCACTCTCACACAGATGCTCAACGTTATCTTCACCCGCATGGAGAACCAGGCTGTCAGTGCATTTAATGTTGTTACTCTATGTCCATACAACAGATCGTAGAGGTTGTAACTTGACGTTTTAATTGAAATAATGTGGAATCACAGGCTCACCACTATTTAACAATTTATTTTTATCCAATTTTTCCAAATGTCCTGACATCCAAATTCCGTTTTTATAAAATAATTCGTCTACATGGCTCCTCTTCTCCTTCCGCTGCCCCCACAGGCTCTGGAGGCCCAGGAGCAGGAGAAGGACCGGCTTCGTCTCCCCCAGCAGAACCCGTCTCCAGTGCCGGGTAATCGGAGGTCTGGCTCCCCCCGGTCTGACCGGACGCCTACTCCAGAGCCCCAGGGGTCGCCATCCCCGGCAGCCAGTTCTCCGGACCTCACTGCCACCGACACCACCAGCTCCACGCCCCCACCGCCAGCCCCTGACCTGGACCAGGACCAAGCGGCAGACACACCGTCAATCAATGGAGAACCTGAGGGCGACAGCGCTCCGATGAATGGAGGAGCGGAACAGGTCACGCCATCAAGAGGTATGTGTCAACTGTTTTGACAATCTGTTTTCCCTCTAAATCTTTAAGGAATATCTGAAGGTGTACCTGTGGATTGTGAAGTTATTCACATAATGGCTTCTTTAATCCTCATACTCTTTATTTAATTACATCAGATTCAGTTTTTGAAGATGAAGGTGTGGAGACACCTCCTGCAGTAGCTGAGGAAGTGGACAAACCAGAGAGCAATCCAAATCCACCAGAGTCATCGGCGACTGAGGAAGTGGAGGGAGAGCAACCGCCAACACAGGTGCTCAGTGGGACAGGTCAGAACTTACTATGTTGTGTATTAGTTATTCTCTCATTTACATCCTTTGTCTCTTATGTTCCGATAAATGTCAATACACTTGTCGGCGACTGTTTTTCTTTCATGGTCATGACCTGATAATATATCCTGTGGCCTCTCCTCCAGGAGGTGAGCACCCAGCCCACCCTGTCGATGACACAGAAGTTGCTCCCCCCAGAGTCAGAACAGATGGTCAGCAGATGAACGGCATCATTGAGGACCGCTCTTCTGTTTCCTCCACAGATATGCTGGTGAGCAGTGTTAACACATCAGTTATTAAACAACAGTACAGGTTCGAAATGAGAACAAACTTTTACATAAATGTCAGTTTTTGAGCCGAAACAAAGACCAAAATGTGTCCTACAAGTGACTTGGTTAGGCTTGTTTTTAGCCAAGCCCTTTGCCAGAAATGGCTTTTTACAGATCACTTGGGGCCCCTACTGGCTGGTTAAGACTAGTGAGCCATTGTAGCGGGCTAATTTCCTTATAAACTGAACTGACTTGTGGCAAGTCGAAGACTCATTGAGGTTTGGTTTTATTGACTAAAACGAGCAGTGGAGTCGTAGGAAGGGTATAGAGAGCCAGAGTAAATAAGTACAATTTATAAAGTTAATGCTTTATCCACACACTCTTGTCATAGTGTAGGAAAGCACATTGCTGTCACCAGATAAGTGACATCTTTGTTCAGCCAGTGTACCATTGAAGCATAGTGGAATTAGCAAGCGAGCTAGTTTGCTAACTAGCAGACAGCTAGCTAGCTGGGCAAACAGACGCACAGCGGGCTGGTGGCCAGCGGCAGCACTCCTCCTCACTCCCCGCCACTCTGGAGAAGGACAAGCTACCGAGCTAACTAGCCAGCCAACCACACTGACACCATAACACCGAACAAGAAAAGTTTTAAAATTACCTAAAAAGGTTGGAGCCAGACAAATCCGAGCTGTTTGAACTTTTTTTATGTTGTCGTATTGTTTGCAAAACAAGTAAGGCAGACTTTCTTCATCTGTCTCAGGATGCTGAGGCCCTGCAGGGACCCCACGGTGCCGCCCGGTTCTCTCACATCCTGCAGAAAGACGCCTTTCTGGTGTTCCGCTCTCTGTGCAAACTCTCCATGAAGCCTCTGGCCGAAGGACCTCCGGACCCAAAGTGAGTGCTTTGTTTCATACAACCTCTAAATGTACGATTACTTCTACAACAACCAGTCTGCTTTACTTTATCTCAGTCGGCCACGTTTCTGTTTTACATCACACCATGAAGATATTTTAAAAACAGTTTTTCAATCGATGAAGGGAAAACGCATCCTAAATCACCAACGCTTGTACTCTGAAAACCTTCCTTGACACACCTTTGGTCTTCTTATATGGCAACAGTTTGCCCAAACAAATACAGAGGCCTTTGACTTACGCACAGGGCTTCAGCTCAGTCTCCACAGGTTAGCTTGCCCTTTTCCATCATGGTGTGGCTGTCGTCTCTAGTTACTGTAACATTAGACCCTGAGCCCATCAGTGTGAATAGGCCAGAGTAAACTGAGCCCGGAAGAAGCTCACAAAGAAGTCAGTCTGACCTACATTAAATAAATACCACGGCGGACCACCATTATACCAAAGTATCTTGTGTTTCTCTCAACTTAGAGTAAACTGGAACACTATTTATTGATATGAAGGCGCATTTATATATACTGAGCATGTTGAGATGTGTGTGTGTGTGTGTGTGTGTGTGTGTGTGTGTGTGTGTGTGTGTATATATATATATATATATATATATGTATATGTGTGTGTGTGTATATATATGTATATGTATATATATGTGTATATATATATATGTATATGTATGTATATGTATATGTATGTATATGTATGTATATGT